CATCTGTGCGGCCTCTCTGCATTGAGAAACTTTTGGTGGCTGGGTTCTTGGTGACCTGGTTAACCCCAGGAACATGATATAAAGCAGCAGGGCAGTCTTGAACTGGGAGTACAGGTTGAGCCAGGCTCTAATGTCTCACCTCCTGAGCAAGCAGGAGAATCCAGCTGCTGAAGGAATTTCAGGCCAAAATGTATTATCCAGGGAATAGGCAACAGGGTTTTAGAAGGCCCATCAGGACCTAGTCAAGTGACGTGGCAGCCAGTGCAGCCCCACATGGTCACATCAAGCCTCAGTGTCAGGGCCTGCTCTTGAGACAAAAGCCAGTTGACTCCCAGAGAGGATGCCTTGCGAGACTGAGCTCCCACCCATACCTTCCTTCATAGCAGCTTCTGTGACTAGACCTTGATGGCTTACCTGCTCTGATGACATTATTTGCCCATCTTCCTACTAACTTCCATTTTGGCAACCTGTGGTACTTGTGATAGACCTCTGGCCTCCACCTTTTTCTCTCCTGACATTGAGAGCAGATTATCATGTGGGTTGCTGATCTCTAGCACATCCTGATGTGTAGGCCTTAACACCTGAAGCCTCCATTCCTCATGGAGGGTCCCCTTGTGTTGCTGTCCTGACATTTTAGTCCCTCTGAGAATGACTCCTTCCATGGATGGGCAAGCCCTTTCCACAAGAATTAATTCCCACATGCTATTGCAAGCAGTGCATCTTAGGGAACGATACTTTTCAAGGTTAATATTTCAACAACTCTTTCCTCATATATCCTCACACTTTTCTGCAAAAGACCATACAGAAAATGAAATAACATGGTCATGCTGTCCACACTAATGAATAATCTCAGTTACACTATTAGAAGATCTTGCTTTATGTCATTTGCGTATTTGTGTGTCTGGCAGGTGGGGCTTTCCAGTAGCAGATTGTACTCCATATATCAGCAAAATGCAAATAATTTGGGCAGTGCCTTAACCTGTTGATAGCTTTCCTGGTGAAGACACTGCAAGATTGGATCATGATAACAGCTAAACTCTAAAGACAATTTAAGTATAACCTCAAAGGTTGTCTGGCTGAGGTGGTGATTTGGTATTTGCCTTTATCTGGAGTTCATGTGTGGGCAACATTTAAAAATCTAATCACAGGTCAATTAGGTATTAACTCCCCACTACCATCCTTTCTCCTTCCTGGCATTCTTCAAGCTTCGTCCTGATTTTGAAGCATTTCCCAGAACAAAATGGATATTTTATCCAAGGTGATTGCAACATGAAGTATCAGATACTAACAGCATGTGTATATAGAGCTGTAATGGCTCAGCTTGTTTGTAATGTGTTGAAGGGTCTGCATGGAAGCACTGGAATCTGAGTTTCAGGCACTCTTGTGGCTTCCAGATGGGAATGCTGAGTGGGAAGCTAATTAAGGACAGTGAGGTTCAGCTAATTGCCAGCACCTCTCTGGAGGGAGCCCTCCCAGCACCCATGCTCTCCTGTGGGAGTCTGTTCCTGATTCATGTAAAATGTGAAAACAGTCACTTGGAGAGACAAAAATGCTTAATGTCCCAGCACCATCGGAGTAAGCTGAGAACACTCCTCACAATTGTAGCCCCACAGAAGTTGTCAACTGAGTAGTTGAATGAGTCTGCGGCTGCTTGTCTCAAAGCCTTGTCTTTTGTCCTCTTTGAAGCAACCAGAATTTCCTTGCAGTGCCCCTGTGTTTGTGTTCAAACAGATCTGAGGACAATAGGGCCTTTTCAATGATGAGGCTGTTTAGGGCACAAGTTATCACAACATATGAATCTATAGAAAGCCCTTTTCTCATCACAAGTGCTTCTCTGCCCTCAGATGTTAGAAGAGTGGCCAACGCAGTGCTAAGGTGTGCTCTTGGCAAATTTGGATGGGCAGGCAAGTAGTGGGCATTGAATGGTTAAACTTCTGAGTGTTGCTGCAACCCCAGAATACACACTGTGGAGATTCTGTGTGCAAGTTCTGTTACAAAGAAGGCTGCAGCCAAAACACCTTTCAGCTTTACATTCATCTCAAGCTCAAGTGTCTCCCCTTGATTGCCATTGCGCCATAGTAAATTCTGCAATGCAAAATTAACAGGCTGTTTAAGTATCATATTCTTCTCTCCACTTATAGTTGCTACTTCTAGTGCCAGGGCTGGGGAGACTGAATATTACCTCACACCTTAAGGACATAGAAAAAGTCTGGCTGGATCAGGCCAGCAGCCTCTCTGGTCCAGCATTGTGTTCCTGCAGTGGCCAATGGAAAGCCTATGAGGAGGACATGGGGCAATAGTGCTTGAGTTCTCCAGCAACTGATAATCAGAACCCCGATGGCTACATTCCAGGATGACTAGCGTCCATTGATAACCTTCTCTTCCATCAATGTGTCTTAATTTCCTTTTAAAGCCATCCAAGTCACCACTACCCCTTGTGAATTTAATTGCACTGTGTGGCAAGTCTTTAATCTCCCACAAGTCATTCACATTGAAAGACCATGTGCTTTTTCTCCATACCACACACAATTTTGTTCTGATCAAACTCTTTATCAGTACAGGAGGGAGTAAACAGTCTGCTGACCACATTCACAGACAATACCAAAGTAGGGGTGGTGGCCACAACTGAGAAGCAGGTACTTCAAATCCGAAATGATCTAGACACAGACTATGGAAGTGGGCAGGGGACAACAGGATTACACTTAATGCAGATAAGTGGATTGTCTTGCACTTAGGACACAGGAATAGGTGACATAGGTGCATGATGGGGGGACAAGTGACTGGAGAGCAGCACTTGTAAAAGGGAAATTGAGATGCTTATGGACAGCAGACTAAACATGAGCCAGCAGTGTGATGTGGTGGTTAAAAAGGCAAAAGCCACCCTTAGATGAATAGCTAGAAGCATGACTTCCAAATCAAGAAAGGTACTAGTACCACTCTGCACAACTCTGGTGTGCCTACAACAGGAGTACTGTGTCCAACTCTGGACTCCACATTATGAGAGACATAGCTTAGGCTAGAACCAGTTCAGCACAGGGTCACAAGGATGGTAGCCAGATTGGGGCTATGGTAAGGACAGGACATGATCCAGAGGGGCAAAGCTCAAGGAAGCAGGTTTAAGGTTGGATATCAGGAAGTACTTCCTGAAGGTTAGGGCCCCTAGGAATGGGCTTCCACAGGAGGTGATGAAGACAAGGAAAGATTGGACAACCACATGTTGGATATTACATGAATGGAGCTGGCTGGAGTGGAGGGTCAGACTAGATGGCCCAGGAAGCCCCTAGCTATGTTTCTATGTTTATAAACCTCTATCATGTCTCTCCTCCCCTGACTCACCATTTTTCTGAGTTAAAATGCCCCAAATATTCTAACTTTTCCTCACAGAGGAGTTGCTTCAGCTGTTCATAATTTTAGTTGCTCTTTCTGCAGCCTCTTCAGCTCTACAATAAACTGTAAGTTATTTGCTAACTGTGGTTGCATCAGAGATTTGTGTAAAGACATTATGATAGTGAAAGTTTTATTTTCAGTTCTTTTCCCAATCACCCAATAACACAGTCTCTGCCTTTTCAAAGCAGCTACAAAGTGGGTTGATGATTTTATAAGCAGTCCACCACAAAATCCATATCTATTTCCTGGTCAGCTACTGCCAACTCAGTCCTCATCATCATAAATGTGGAGTTAGGATTTTTTTTGCCCTAAGATATCTCACTTTATACTTGTTCATACTGTATACTTTGCCATTCTAGTGTCTGTTTCCCTAGTGGAAAACTTGGCTTTCACTGAACAACGTCACTCTGCAGTGAATCAGTCTGTAATGTGCCACTAACGAAGGCCACAGTCCAATGCATATTGGAACAAGTTCCAATTAACTCAGTTATTTTTAAGTAAACGTTAAGAGAAGGAAAGGCTGTTACATGCTGATCCGCCTACTCTTCTGCAATAACTAACTTTGTTTGCAATATAAGTGGGCTGCATATTTTGAAGAGTTTATTTGAAAGTTTAAAAAAAAACAGTAATTGGCCCTGAAGTGTGGGATAACTGTGAATGGAAGAAGTGGATATGTGAGCCTCTTTTGTGGGCTTTTAAGCAGAGCCTAAAAAACGTGTAGTTTATGCATGTTGTTCCCAATAGTGCTGGTTACAACCAATCCTTCCCTCTCTTCCTTTTATCAAAGAATAAGCTGATTATTGATGATGCAGAGAGGTTTTTTTCTTGCTGCTTTGTAAATTGTTTGCATGGAGTATTTGCTCCTAATTTTGAAATCATTAATCTTCTCTTCCCCTCCCTGCCCCTCTGATTTAATGCATTTGGGTAGCAACGGCAGGTGTGCTTCACTGTTCCATAATCCTGCAGGCATCCCGTTTCAACAGAAATTCCTGATAAGCTTTTACATTCTCCAGTTGACTGAGAAGAGTGATCAAAAGAAGGAAAGGGAGAGGCCATGAGTGAGTGCAAAATGACACACTCATCCATCATTAGTCCCTAGCAATTCTTGAGGAATTGTAAATCACTAATGAAAGGGGAATTAGCCCGATAAAGTCAGCATTAGTGTCAAATGTGGATGATTTAAATTTTAAAGTCACAACTGTTTTCTCTGGCTGTCATCTAGGCTCTCACATGGATCCCAACCGAGTAAAGAAAGGAGAACATGCTAAAGTTAAGCTTGTAAAAACTAGAAAAGATTTCACGATTAAGCAAATGCTGGATTGTGCAGTCCTGCATGCAGTTAGTTTGCTTACATCTCATTGATTTCAGTGACCACAAGAAAGATTGTTGCTGAATTGCTCTATTAAGCTGCTAGCACAGTAGATAGACAAATACACAAGCAGTATTTTCACACTTCTTTCCCAGAGGAACTAAACATTGTCTGCACATGTTCTGCATGCAAGTTCCTTTGTGTGGCTGCCTTTCAGGGTCAGGATCAGGTTACCATGGGGTACCTTGGTTTTGGAGGTGCATTTAAATTAAAGCCTTATTCTCATCTGATTTTGTGCTTGCAGATGTGAGAGCTGTGGTGCAGTCTTCCATTCAGAATGCAAGGTGAAGGCTGTACCATGCCCCAGGTGCGTGCGGAGAGAGCTTCAGATGAAGCAGAAGTCTTTCTGGAGAAGACTCAACATGGACGAGAGCCTGGAAGAAGCCTGCAACATGTTTGAACTGTCCTATCAGAACACCTGACTTGCAGGGAAAAGCTGGCAACCTGCAGAACTCACTTTCCTACTGCAGAACAAATGATTGCAAGGAAATTTTGTGCTGCCAGGCATAATCCTTTACTGCAAAAAGATTGGCTGATAGTCATGTTTCAGTTTGTGAATAGCTGGGGCAATTCACAAAGATTGAAGGCTAAACTATTGTCATGAAGTCTAAATGAACCAGTTGATCTGACGCCAAGTGTAGTTTACTTGAAATATTTCTGATGTTTGCATTTATTGTCTGAAACATCTTATTTGTGTTTGTTTATTGTTCAATGTCTAGGTTTTTTTCCAGAAATAGCAAGGTGGCACTGCTATTTAAAATTCACAGACAAGGTGCCTATGAATTTGTGGGGCTTTTCCTAGCTTAAAAAATGGTTTAGTGAACAACATTTACAATACGTTCCACCCCCATTCCTCCAAAACTAACTTGGTTCTAGATCCACATTGAAATGACTATATAAATGTATAGCAATCCTTGCACTTTATATCAGCAAAGTGCTTGAATCTGTTTAACTCTTGCTTTGCTGTTCCTGACTCCTGAAGAAGCAACTCTTATTTAGGGCATTTGTGGCTTTACCCCTGCACAACATTCCAATTTCCTAATGTCCACAATTTAAATTTCTGTTATTTTCTCACATGTTGCACACTAAAACACCCTCATTGATATAGTTTAATATGAAATAACACACATTGTCTTGCTCTTACTTAGTGGTGGAATAGGGCATTTCCTTTTCTAAGAAGCCTCCTTCTGTCTTCAGACATAATGATAAAATGCTGAACTATATTCTGTTGAGAATTTCACAGGGCTGGGATCTGTCTTTCCACTCTCCTTCTGCGGCTTCTACTTGATATGTACATACACAAAGACTCAGAGCAGCAGGCTGAGCAGATTTAGAGAACAAATGCTTCAGTGCAGTAAGGGACACACACATCTGGAATACTTAGAACCAAACCTTACGACTTCTTAAGCACTTTCCAGTTCTGAATTATGAAGCACATGTTCAGTTCGCAGTACATGGTGACTGCAGGTTACATGTAGATGTTCACTACAGTCTGTAGATGCAAGCGTGCTTTCCCATAGGTCTTATCCTGAGTGTGGGAATGGGCTTCCTCATCCTCTGAGCCCATTGTGCATGGCTTTTACCCATGTGCCACTAGTAACACCTAACACCTTCTTACCCTGTTCTTCTGTCTCTGGAACAGGACCAGCAAGTCCTGTTCAGTGTATCTGAAAAGTAGTGTTGCATTAAAAGGAGGAAGCTCAACTTCTTTTCTTGATTCAGCACAATCTTGAGCACTCAGATTTGCATGTCATTCATTCATACTCTCACCATCAGATCAATGAAAATGTTCAGTCTTCATGTATATTGGGCCTCTCAAAAGGCAGGGAACCTTCTGTCTTTAAAGAACTTTTGGGTTAAGGGTGCTGTCTATGCACAAGGAAACAGATTTCTCACTTGCTGGGAACTATAAGTGAACTGTGTGGAATTTCATGAGCCTGTGCATTCTGCTTGTTTTCCCTTTTTACCAGATGTAATGATAAATTATAGCTTGTCATTATGGGAATAAGGCTAAATGAACCTTGCTCTCACATCCATTCCCTTCTCCTGCAACTGGAACAGAGGTTGCTATTAGAAACTTTAACTTCCATTTTGGGTCACTACAATGTAGTGTTTTGTCAAAACCCATACAAAATGAGGTTTTACTTTGGTTATTGGAGCTCACTCATTTCAATAAACTATAGTTAAAATTAACCACAGTTTGAGGCTTTGGGCATAAGGTGAAACTGTAGGTAATTGAAAATGGAAACAAAAACTTTCGCTTTCATAGCTGCACTAAAACAGGAGAGATGAGTAGGAAGCATGCAGCCCAAGGCTTGTTCCCATAATAAATTCCACTTTACTGTTAAATTCAACTACAGCCACAGTCTTTAAGATGCTCTGTTAGTCCAATATAGTTTTCCCCAACCTGGT